ATTTTAGTTGCCTGGTCGTCCAGGCCTACAGCCCACACCAGAGCTGGGGAGGCTCAAGTGTGTGCCCATCCCCGTGCCTTACTGGGCTGGTGGCACAAAGCTAAGCCAGTGGACATGGGTTGGCAGCAGCTGGTGCCCATTCTCACCTGCTACCTTCAGCTTCTGTGGATAGGAGACCTTTTGTGGAATCACAGGGGTCTGTTAGTCTCCTATATAGGTTCTGTGAATCTCAGCCAATAGAACTTTCCTGAATGCACAATAGAAAATGAGATATTTTTAATGTGAGCAGCTGGGAGGTGTTAGTAAGCTTTTTTGCCTATTCCTCCCCCAGTAGACAGGCTGTGAAATGGAGGGTTGAATGATGGTGTTCAATAGAAATTTCAGTTGGTTTTCCTCATTTTAAATCTCATCAAAACCGACTCCTTGTCCTGCAACCTTGGCAGAGTATTATCTTTCCTCTAGGCCTTCCTCCCTTGAGTATCAGTTACTCTGCTTTTACAGAACATGCTTGATAGTGATTTACATGCTGGTGGTGTGAGAACAGCAGGCTGGGGTTGCACCTGGCCAGGACCCTGCTTGTGCTCCCAGCAACGTCATCTGTGAGGACTGAAGCTTTCTGCAATAGATTCTTGCTCCTTGGTGCACTCCAAACCAGGGTGAAGGCGTGTGTCTCTGCAAGATGGGATTTCTCACTTTCAAAACCAACAGACTCTTAGGTGATATACTGCAGAATTGTAAAATTGTTTTGGTTGAAAGAGACCTTTAAGATCATCTGGTCGAACCAGCACTGCCAGGTCACCACTAAACCACGTCCCTCAGCACCACATCTGCATGGCTCTTAAATCCCTGCAGGGATGGGGACTCCACCACTGCCCTGGGCAGCCTGGCACAGGCCTTGACAACCCTTTTGGGGAAGACATTTTTACTAATACCCAACCTAAACCTTCCTTGGCAGAACTTGAGGCCATTTCCCCTCACCCTATCACTTGTTCCTTGGGAGAAACCTCCTTCCAAAAAGTTCTCGAGAGCGAGGTGGTTTCCTCTGAGCCTCCTTTTCTCCAGGTTCAACACCCCCAGGTCCCTCAGCCACTCCTCATAAGACTTGGGCTCTAGACTCTTCTGCAGCTTTGTTGCCCTTCTCTGGACTTGCTCCAGCACCTGCAATGTCCTTCTTGGAGCGAGGGGCCCAAAACTGAACTCAAGATTTGAGATGTGGCCTCCCCAGTGTAGAGTCCAGGGGGACAATCACTGCCCTAACCTTTTTATTCCATGTTTTGTGTCTTTATATTCTATAAGGGCACAAAAATTGGAGTTGAGCAATCTTCATTTTTCTGTATGGTACCTTTAATAGCATTACTCATGGTGAGTTTAACACATGATCAGGTTTCTGACTTGATTGTGGTTTTCTAGCAATATTTCCAAACCTAGCAGTTTTACTGCAAGACACATGTTTGTCAGTTCCCATAATGCTGCCAGGCCAGGTATCGTGGGGTTCCACCAGCATATTACGACTCTTGTGCCAGATATTTGCAGCTCACAATCGATTTTTCTTCTTTTAGGCTCCACACAGAGCTCATCTTAAAACCTACCAGCTTAGTCATGGCAGGAGGTGGAAATTGGAGGCTGGCTACAGGCTCCTGAAGAGTGATGAATGCAGCCCTTTGCTCTGTGTCTTTGGGATCCAGAGTCCTTAAGTTTGTAGTGTGTTGTCAGGGCCTGGACAGAAAGGCTGGTGTGTCAGGAGGATAATGGTTAAAGGTCCACTTTCCTCCTTGCCCAGTGTTTGGGTTTGGGAAACTGGGATTCAGTCCCTCATGTGTTTAAAATGGAAAAGGCTTAATATTGCCTTACCTTGTGGTGTACACAGAGTGCTCCCAAAAACCCCAAATCCATGCTGAATTTGTAAAGGAAACCTTGGAGAAGCAGCTGATGGAGCTGTTCAGTGGCAAGGGAAAATGAGATCCTGCTGCAGACTAAGAGCCTGGATTTAGGCTTTATCAAGATTATCAGGTGCTATCCTCAGGCACAGCAAGCCCTTAGAGAAATCTGCTCGGATTAGTGGTGTACCTGCTGCTGCACAGTTTCTGGTGCTGCATCTCATGGGCTTCAACCTGAGTTTCGACTCTGGGACAAGCATGAAGTGTGCATTGCTTTTTCCTTCACACAGGCACCAATGCCTTGAGCTGTGAGTTACTGGTACATCACTTGAGACTGGAATACTGTGGGCATCAAAACTGTGATGGTGGTTCCATCTCCTTGGTCTGCAGTGGGTGAGTTAAGCCCCAGGCACTAGTAAGTGAGGTAGCTCAAGGTTGACAGTCATTCTTAATGCACAGACTGAGGCCAAACAGGGAGCTGGAGGCAAAACTTCTTTCCACAACTGCTGGTGGCAGCAACTCTCCCCAGCATGGAAATGGGTGTAGGTTCACCAGCTGCCTGGCAGAAAAGGACCTCGGGGTGTTGGTGGACAGCTGACTGAACATGAGCCAGCAGTGTGCCCAGGTGGCCAAGAAGGCCAGCAGCATCCTGGCCTGGATCAGAAATGGTGTGACCAGCAGGAGCAGGGAGGTGATCGTGCCCCTGGACTCGGCACTGGTGAGATCACACCTTGAGCACTGTGTCCAGTTTTGGGCACCACAGGACATGTAGGTGCTGGAGTGGGTCCAGAGAAGGGCAACAAGGCTGGTGAGAGGGCTGGAAAACACGCCTAGTGGAGACCAGCTGAGGGAACTGGGGTTGTTTAGCCTAGAGAAGAGGAGACTGAGAGGTGACTTATTGCTCTCTACAACTGCCTAAAAGAATGTTGTAGTGAGGCTGGTGTTGGTCTCTTCTCCCAAATTACTGATGATAGGATGAGAGGAAATGGCCTCAAATTGAGGCCTTGAGTCATCATCTCTGTTTAAGCAACGAGCAGATGTAGCACCTGAGGCTATGGTCTAGTGGCCACGGAAGTGCTGGGAGGAAAGTTGGACCTGGTGATCCTAGAGGTCCTTCTGACCTGACCACAGAGATTCTGTGATTCTATGAGTCATGCTTGAGCCAGACTCAGGATTTCAGGTACTCTGTGATAACATGACTACAGTGGGAACCAGCATGATGGAGAGACGAGGTGCTCTCCTTCAGCTAAAGCCTTGTGGGAGTTCCTAATGTGGGTTTACATGCATAATTCAACCCATCCTTTTTTTCCATGTTCTGAGCTGTGTAACTAAATACCAATTTGCTAAACACAACTTGAATAATGAAGCAATCTGTGGCTAAAAGCCTTCTGCAGTACATATCCCAGTGAAGAAATAAAAGAAAGAAAAAAAATAGAGCTGCAGCCTCTCTTCTGCTGTTTAAAAACAGGGTGAATATTCACAAGGACCAGTGTTCAGCTTCATCCCTGTTTGCTCCACAGATTTAAATATCTGCATGTTCATGCCGTGCCCAACAAGTGAGAGGTGGCATACACAAAGTCCTGCCAGTCCTTTATCCCAAGTGCTTCCTTTTCTCAGTCACCAGACCTGGTTCATTCCCTGGATAAAGGGATTAAAAACTGCACCTTGTGTTTCCTGCTCAGTTGAGAGGTAACAGGGCAAAAAACGTATTTGTGTGCAGTATGGTCACATATAGCTCTGTGTCTGTGTTGTACCACTTCTACTCCAATCCTGCCCGTAGTGTAGATCATTTTGGTTTTCCTCAGCAGAAACTTTGTTCCCTGTGATGAAGCACAAACATCTGGTAGCTTGTAAGAAGCTAAAAATATTCTTCAAGCTGATAAAGGCATGCTACGCCTTTTGAAAATATGAAGTGTTTTTTCCCTCTGCTGTTACTTTCTTTAGGTCACTTGGTGTTTGCGACGCCGCAGCCTCCTGCGGGGGAGACTCAGGCCGTGGGATGGCAAACGGGAGACAGGGCTCCTCACTGGTTTCTTCTCTTGGCTCTGGGGAGGGCTCTGTTATGAAGCACTATCTCAAACCTAGGAATTTGCTGGTGGTGTTCACTGCCACATGATCGCTGCCTTATGCTGAGGATTTTGCTGCTCATGTCTTAAAAATGCAGGAAGAGGTTCCAGCAAGTAATGTCTGTTTTCCTCTAATATTTTCTATTGGAAGTTATCAGCTTTTCTAAGCTTTCTAATCGACATTTGTAGTTAATTGGGTGCAGAAATTTGTAACCTAATTTATTTATTTTATTTTTTAGTTTTTGCTTTTTTTTTCTGCTGGTTCCTTTTTTAGCTGTTGACAAACATTTATTTGAATTGTGGCAGTATACCATCAAAACCATAAAGTTTACCTTGAAGAGTTACTAAACATCTGCCTGAGTTTTGCAAATGTAAATACTTGGGTTTATTTTCAGGCTCACCAATTTGGGTGTTGATTTTCCTGCTGGTGCTTTGGCCCAGAGAGTATATATAACCTTGCTTATCAACATCATTATTTTTACATCACTGACCTGTGGAAAAGCTTTTTTTTTTTTGTGACACATGAGATATTTTTGCCTTGCAGAACAAAAAACAAGCTTCCTATCTGATAACTAGGTGCAACATGCTGCATTAAGATACCAGTCTATAAGGGGGAGAGGTTCCTGACATGCATAACACTAAAAAGTTGCTCTGTAGGTCCTTAAACCTATTAGTTGTGGGCCAAAGCTGCATAGTAACAGAAAATCTAACAAATATAGAGCAGGAAGGAGTCCTTGCCACAGCTGCAAAGTGGTGTTTATAATAAAAAATTGTTAAAGCTCTTGGGAAATCAGTAGCAAGCTTGGAAAGGACAGTGCTGTGTGTACAAGGCTAGAGCTCAAATCTGTTAGTCTTTTCCATGCCAGAGTCTAACTGTTCCTTTGCAGTAGTTTTGTCTTTAAAGGTGAATTTAAGCTGTTGGTCAATGCCGCCCTGATGACTGCTTGTGGGTTCTTCTCCTCCCCAGGTAGAAGAATGCCAACACGAATATGAAGTGAGCGGATTCCGATGCGTGCCGTGGCGCCTGGGCGCTCGTGTCGGAGGGTTCGAGACGGGCACTTGCCTCTTGCCAAACCGCTTCCGTGGACAAGATGAAGCCAAGGAGGAGCTTCCCAACGCGTCGCTGGAGTCGCAGTGACTGCTGCCCCATTTAAAACCGATGTCAGACTGTGCCCCGGCTGCCTGTCGAGATGAAAGAAGTGGTGTTGTGGTCACCCGAGGAGGTGACGAATTGGCTAACGGAGAACGCCGTGCCGGAGTACTGCGAGCCGTTGAAGAGCTTCACCGGGCAGGATCTCATCAACCTGACAGAGGAGGATTTTAAGAAGACGCCTCTCTCCCGGGTGTCTTCTGACAGCGGACAGAGGCTACTGCACATGATCGAAACTTTAAAAATGGCTCACCACATGGAGGCTCACAAGAACGGGCACGTCAACGGGCACATCCGCGTCGGCAACGCCGCGCGCGAGAACGGCTGCAGCAGTAAGACGAAGCTGAACGGGATGCCAAATGGGTACAAGAAGGAGATGATCAAGATCCCCATGCCAGAGCCGGAGCGCTCGCAGTATCCTATGGAATGGGGCAAGACTTTCCTGGCTTTTATTTATGCACTTTCTTGTTTCATCTTTACCACAGTGACTATCTCAGTCGTTCATGAACGAGTGCCTCCCAAGGAGGTGCAGCCTCCCCTACCAGATGCATTTTTTGATCGCTTTGATCGGGTGCAATGGGCTTTTTCTATTTGTGAAATCAACGGCATGATCCTTGTAGGACTGTGGTTTGTTCAGTGGCTGCTCTTGAAATACAAGTAAGTAAAACCTTTTGAAAAAAGAGTGCTAGGGTATACTTCTGGCAGCTTTTGGAGGTTAGATGCTGGTTTACCTCCAAATAAAATTAAGCTTCTTGTGATCTTTCTTACTGTGGTTTCCCGCACTGAAATCGATACCCTGCAGTTTGTGGGGACTGCCTGTGCAGAAGGGAGAAGTTCAGTCTAGCTGCTATCTAAGAAATTAAGAAATGGCCCTGCCCATCTTTGCCTGCACAGTGTACTTGAAGCCTTTTCACGTGTGAATAGCTGTGATTTGCATGTAGTGATGTTGGCTCAGCAGCCTGTCCTTCCTGGTTAGAGGCAGCACAGCTGACACGCGTGTGAACACAGACACAAAGCCACTTGGAATCCATTTAGTGTCTCTGTAGTTCGTGTGGTGTAAAGACCTACCCTAGGGTTAGGGTACTCTTGGACAAAACCAGCACGTGGTGGTTTGGTCTGTGCAGCTAGACAGTGCTGCGTGAGAAAGCCTTGAAGTACGTTTTCTCCTTGATGTTACGTGGCAGAGGTAATGCCCAACACAGTGTGTCCAAAGCTAATCATAAAGTTTCAAAAACTAGGCACAAGCCTGTCCCCATGGCTGCCCAGCCCAAAGAGTTTCCTCTTCTCCTCTGCTTGCACAACTTCTCATTCTTTACCTGTTCACTGACTCTTTTTTGTGACTTCTATGTAGGAAACTGAGGAAGGAATGTAATTTAGGCCTCACTGTGAAATACAAGATCATTTGGTTTGCAGGATTTTGTAATGGCCTTAGAATTACAGATTTCCTTTTTTAAAAGAAATAAAAAGAGAAGTCAATGAATCACTTGCCCTTATAATGGCGAAAAACATTAAAACTTAAATGTTAGGACATGGTTCACCAGCTACCAAGGTACAGGAGTCTTGAAAAAAGAGACTTGTAAAGCTGGGGCAGGATACCCTTGTGCAACACAGCTGTGGCTTTCCATAGAAACATGATAAAAGTTTAAATAATCCCCAAGACTGAGATGATGCTTTTATTCATTCTTTTCTGCTGCTTTATACTACCTGGTCTATTGTATCAGATGAAATTTTAAAACCATTGTGCTCTTTTATAGTGGTGTTGTTCCTTAAAGGAAAGGGTTTAGAATGGTTAATTTATTGTTATTATAGGACTGTAAAAAAAAAAACCTGTGATATTGATTTTTTTCTTTTTTTTTGTTTCTTAAATGTGCACATATCTGTCTGGCAGGAAGGACTTAAAGCTTCAGGATCACTTTGTGTTGGTAGCTGCAGTGCTCCCAGCTGCACTCCATCTCCTCTCCTGCACTGAATGTGGGGGACCAGTGACTTCCTTGGGATCTCTGAGCATAAAAGTTGTTCAAAACCAAGGGAAGCATATAGAGAAGGTGACGTGGGATTATTCTCCAGAACAGGGTCTCAGGTCAATAGGGCAGTATGAGGGATCAAATGCCTTGCAGTGGAGCTGAATGAAGTCTTTAGATTAACAGTGGCAGAATCCATGAGGTCCCCAGAGATTTTACAGCAGTGAGGCATGAGTACAGTATTGTTGATAGATGTGAAGATTCTACCCTGTGTCCCCCATCCCCTTTTCTTTCATGTGTTTGATTTTATTTCCTTTAGAAGGGCTCTTTCTGGTGTTAGGGGAAGATGTCAGGGAGGTGCAGAGCTTTCCATTCCCTGGAATGGCTGGTCAGTGTGTGTACAGGTTGTGTAATGCTTTGGAGTCCAAAAGTCTTCTTTTATGTCAGTGAGCAGAGGAATAGGAGACTGAGAAGCCCGAGCTGCTGGTAAGCAGCAGACAGGGAAGAACCAGAGAGGTGCCTGTGGGGACAGGAGCCCAGTGAGGTGGCCTTATCTGGAAGACCTCGTTCTCATGGCTTTGGCTGGTGAACCACTAAGTGCTGCAAAAAGAGCATGAATCACTTTTGTGGTGTTGGTTTTCACCTCCCTTTGAAACTTAGTTCAAGAATAAGGAGATGGAATTAAGCCAGCTAGACCTTTCTCACTTCTCTGACCTTGATGGTAACAGGGTTAGCCATTGCCACACTCCATTCAAGATCTGAAGGTAAGATAGGGAGCCAGGTGATTGCAGGGCAGGGTGAGACCTGGTTCCTCACCTACTCAGATCATAGAGGTGCCATTCACAGATGTGTCTTAAGTGTCAGCCCAGTGTCACCAGTGAACCAGCAGCTTTGCTACCCGTGAGCTAAACTGCAGGCAGTGGCTGGGGTGAACCTTTGACTGAAGGAGACAGATTCCTAGTTTCAGACTCTTTGAAGCATTTTCTTTGCCAAGCAGTGAAATTCCTATTGCTTATCCTAACAGATCCATTATTTGCCCATAATCTGATTTCATCCAAGCCAAACCTGCTGTTCTCCCAAGCAATGAAGGACAATAGAGATGTGTCATTCATGACACTGATCACTCAGGTTTTCCTTGTTTAATCCAGGGATTGCATGGTAATGTTGGGTAGGACCTCTGTGTCTCCTTCGTTGGACTGCAGGGTTGGGGCCAAAACAGAGGAGAGTGTTGGGTGTGTCTGTCCAGGTAACCATGTGGCACAGTTTCCATCAGCCCCTGTTACTGCTTGTGTGCCTGAAAATTAATTTTATCTTCAGGTAGAGACTGGAGTTTCTCGCTAGCTTTGGGACAAGGCACTAGGTTTGGTGTGGGGAAGTCAGCAACAGTTTCCTTTGAATATCCATGCAAAATACCATCTGTGGCTTCGGCCTGGCTTGGTTCTTCACCAGGAAGCAGGCGCAGGGTGGGAGTGCAGGTCTTGGCTGGGGACTCCTGGCTGCCTGGGCCTTTTTCCACAGACGCCGCGGGGAGCTCGAGGAATCCAGGCGAGCTGCCGAGGCAGAATTAACTCCTCTGGGAAGCATTCCCAGATGTTTGGGAGAAGTGCAGTGCTGGGTTTTGGCCACGCTTGACATCTGATCCAGCCTGCACGCTCATGGGATTGAAAAAGTTGCACGCTCACTGCCCACGTTAGGTGAGGTCTGGGTAGTGGTAAGAAAAGTTGTCTTGGCCAGGGATAAGCTTAGAAGCACTTGCCAGCTGGCGCATAAACACACATGCACACACAAATCCTTTTGAGAAGGGAAAATGTAAGGCTTTTTACATGTTTTTTAAATACTACAGTACACAGCACTTTGATGCAGACTTTCCAAAGCCAAAATACACTAACTCCATGTCAATCCAGTATGTTTGTGGGGTAATTTTAGGAAAAAGCTCGTTGCTCAATGAAACACTGCTGCTCCTTCGGTTTCTTGAAACACAGCACTGCTTGGTCTGTAATTCCCAACCCCCCCATTAGCCTTTATACCAAGTTACAAAGAAAAACAAGTTCTTGTTTAGTAATTAAAGCCAGATATGGGATCTTTATTGGATCGCCCTTCCAAGAGAAAAAAATCCCCATAGTAAACACGGAAGGAAAGCACTGGCCCAGTGGCGTGTTGCCTGCCACTCTTAAATTCACTCCATGGAGCTACATTAATGAAGTAAAATGTTTTTTAACTCCCAGCTTTGTCCATGTTTGCATCAGGAGGGGGAAGAGAAAACACAAAATGCTGCATTTCGACAGCAGCGAGTGCTCGAACACAAAATACATTTACAGTATAATAGCTGAAGCTTTTCTGATAAATTAAGACACTTGAGTTGTTATTGATCTGGCACTGCAAAGTCATACTCCTCTAAGAGTGGAGCACTACAGCTTAATAACTCTGCCAAAAGCCATTAAAAATAAAGAAGGTTGCCAATTTTGAGCTTCGAAAGAGCTGGGCTTGATAGAAATATTTATTTTTTTTTTTAAGAATGAATGCGACAAATGAATGCCAGAACTTGCAGCTTGTGTGGTCACCCCTGTATTCCCCAAATGATCGTAATTCTGAATAATGATGGTTCAAAATCAACCCGGAAGTGCCAGGGGCTGTGCCCAGCAGGAGGCCAGGGGCTGGTGTGGTCAGGGGCAGGAGGTGCTATGGCTGGGTTTGCCCTGGATCTCTGTCACCCCGAATCCGCGGGGGCCCCAGGGGGTCCCAGCTGGGTTTGCCCTGGATCTCTGTAACCCCGAATCCGCGGGGTCCCCAGGGGGCTGCTGCTGTCCTGATGGCTGTGCCAGAAGGGCTTTAACTGACGCAGTGCTGTCCCTGGGGCGTTATTAAGTGGTAGGCAGCAGTGAAGCTCAGCGGGCCATTTTTGGGGCTGGCTGTCACTCTGGAGTGCAAGCTGCAGTTCTTTACCCCACGTGTTCTTACTGGTTTGGCAGAGCTCCACCACGGAGTACCCCAAAATCGCATCCTCCCTCTCCATGTACGTCAGCGGCTGGCAGCCCTCGATGAATAAATCTCTTTGCAGCTACAGCTGCTTGCCCTGAGAGTGGCTTCCCGTGAAAACACCCTGTCCTGTAGCCAACACAGCTCTAAATTTGTATTTTGGAGGTTTTGTTGCTGATGTAAATTGCTTCCTCTTTAATGCCACTCAGGAAAGATGTGTTCTCGCTCGTTTGGGTCATAAAAGCTATTTCTTCTCAAGCAGCCCTTTGTAATTGGTAAGTGCCTGCGTCAGCCGAAATAAACTTACGCCTTTTCATCTTATAATGAAAATATTGTTACTTTATCCCCTTCCTTGAATAGAAAATTAGTGACCGCTCAAAGCTAATGGAGGGCCGTGGGGCATGAAATCCCTTTTAATATCTTCAGCACTAAATCTGCACAAGCTTTTCTGTTCTAATCCTTATATTTCCTGTAATCACCTTCATGGGTGATGTTAGTTGAGTTGTTTTTGTGTTTCTGACCTATAAAGTGTGGGAATATTTGTAAAACAATTTGATATTCTCAGGTATAACCTGATACTGTCATGAGTTTCAAAAGCATCAAGAACAGTTGGTAGGTAATTTTATTTACCATTGCACATTTTGTCTGTATTGAGTGACCTTATTTTTTTTCCTGTTTCTTTTTTTTTTTTTTTTTTTTCTCTTCTAGGTCTATAATTGGCAGAAGATTTTTCTGTATAGTTGGCACACTATACCTGTATCGGTGTATTACAATGTACGTGACTACACTCCCAGTACCTGGCATGCATTTCAAGTGTTCTCCAAAGGTAAGTTCCTTCTGGCTGCTTTTCCCATAATTTAATGTGTATGTTTTTCCCTTGGCCTGCTGTTACCAAAACTGAGGAACACTTTCTCAATAGCTGTTAGTAATTTGAAAATACCAGTTTGGCATGGTGGGGACATCCTTCAGCAGATCATCAGCTTCCCTCTGAGTGAAGGTGTTGATGGTTGCTTTGGGGCAGTGCAGGTGTTCCCACCCATTTCAAAGTGCTAATCAATGCAATTTCTGTCAGTTTGTCAACTAATGTGCACGATCAGCATCTCTCTATCTCCACCGGAGCAGTCGAAGGTGTGCCTGCCGCGGAGGTGCCGTGTGTGATTCATTTATTTCTAAACACTTCAGTATGTCAAATCACAGAATTACAGGGTGTTAGGGGTTGGAAGGGACATCTGGAGATCACCTTGTCCAACACCCCTGCTCCAGCAGGGTCACCCAGAGCAGGGTCCCCAGTATTGTGTCCAGGCAGTTTTGGAATGTCTCCAGAGAAGGAAACTCCACAGTCTCTCTGGGCAGCCTGCTCCCAGTTCTGGCACCTTCAAAGGAAAGAATTTTTTCCTCCCGTTCAGATGAAACCTCCTAGGTTCCTGTTTGTGCCCATTGCCCCTTGTCCTGTCACTGGGCAGCCCCATCCTCTTGCCCCCCCCAACCCTTTAGCTATTGATCACATCCCCTCTCAGCCTTCTCCAGGCTGAACAGCCCCAGGGCTCTCAGCCTTTCCTCCTCACAGAGATGCTTCAGGCCTCTCAGCATCTGCATAGCATCTGCTGGACTCTCTCCATTAGTTCCTTGTCTCCCTTGAACTGGGGAGCCCAGACCTGGACACTACTCCAGCTGTGGCCTCACTAGGGCAGAGTTGAGGAGGAGGAGGACCTCCCTTGACATGCTGGCCACAGTCTTCGTCACGCACCTAAATCCAAATACGGGTTGTATTTGAAAATGCCCTCAAGAGATTTTTCTAAGGCTGGTGAAACCGTCTCCTTTGCAGCCATTTGTCCCTGCATATGTTTTTACAGTTGTTAGGACAAGGAGTTGCCACCCCTTCCCCAGTCCAACACTGACTCCTGTTTCTCGTGCTGAGGAACAACATGGGCTTGTGACAGCCATGGCTGAAGCCACGCTACTGAGGCAGAAGTGCTTAAGCAAGACCTTTGTAGACAGCCGTGAAGGGTAATTTGTGTGCCCGGGGTGGAGATGGGACAGGGGTGGTGGTATTGTCCATCTCATGTCTCACAAGCGTTGGTGTACATGTGGTCCTTGCTACACCATGCTGTCTGTGGTGGGGAAACGCAGCCTAACACAGGCTGGACTCCCACGGGAGGGGACAGCACGCATATATGAGACACAGAGTGCTGTTGCTCCGTGGTGGTTCATCTCAGTCCCCCTCCTGGGGTTATTTCTGCTAAAGCTTGATTTAAGCAGAAGAAAGAGGGGGGGGGAAAGTGATTCCTGTGAAATATCTACTGCATGAGCAGTAGTGTGCACAACTGTAAGTTGATGACAGGTAGTAAAATCGCTGATTGACAGGTAGTAAAATCCTGGTTTGTCTCAGTGCATGTGCTGTCACTGTTTCAGTGAGGGTTGCTGGTACATATAAAGTAAAACCACCTCAGTTCCTAGGGGGAATAAAGCCAATGAACGTACTGATGGTGGCTGTTAGGCAAGGCAGAGTGTTCGCCAAGCCACGTGTGGCTTTTTGAGGGGCTGAGTGCTTCTGGAAAGAGAAATGAGTGGGAGAGGAGTCAACGTTGTATTTGATCAGTCAGCCATCATGAAATAAAAAAAAAAAGAGCACAGGCATTTGTGGGATGAAGTGAGTAAATCTGCCAGTTTTAGAAACTTAGGGCATTGGTAAGTGTCTCTTCTTACTCAAGTATTAAGACAAGCTTAGGTGATGCGCTTTATTGCCCTGTTAAGACTGAGGATTAGCTTGGCTTTCTTAAAAGCTATGAATATACTGGTGGCAAAACAGTAACCTCTCAACACCTATATATGGTTGTGAAGTGTGGAGTCAGGGGAGCATTTCAATGTTTTGTAAGGAACTGTTACCAGGAAGGAAATTGTATGAGGTTCAGTAAGGCCAGCTGCTGGGTCCTGCACTTGGGTCACCACAACCCCAGGCAACGCTCCAGGCTGGGGGAAGAGTGGCTGGAATGTGCCCAGCAGAAAGGAACCTGGGGGGTTGGTCAACAGACAGCTGAAGATGGGTCAGTGTGTGTGCCCAGGTGGCCAAGAAGGCCACCAGCATCCTGGCTTGTATCAAACCTAGTGTGGCCAGCAGGAGTAGGGCAGGGATTGTCCCCCTGCACGCGGCACTGGGGAGGCTGCACCTTGAATCCTGGGTTCGGTTTTGGGCCCCTCACTCCAAGAAGGACATTGAGGGGCTGGAGTGTGTCCAGAGAAGGGCAACGAAGCTGGGGAAGGGTCTAGAGCCCAAGTGTGGTGAGGAGCAGCTGAGGGACCCAGGGTTGTTGAGCCTGGAGAAGAGGAGGCTCTGGGGACAGCTTCTCGTTCTTGACAATTCTTTGGAAGGAGGCTGGAGGCACATGGGAGTCAGCCTCTTCTCCCAAGGAACAAGCAGTAGGACAAGAGGAAATGGCCTCAAGTTGCACCAGAGGAGGTTTAGGTTGGACATGAGGAAAAACTTCCTCCCAGAAAGGGTTGTCAAGGCCTGGAGCAGGCTGCCCAGGGCAGTGGTGGAGTCCCCATCCCTGGAGGGATTTAAAAGCTGTGGAGATGTGGTGCTGAGGAGGACTGTGGTTTAATGGTGACCTGGCAGTGCTGGGTTGACAGTTGGACTTGATGATCTTAAAGGTCTCTTTCAACCAAAACAATTTTATGATTCTGTGACTGCTGCAAAGACCCTGTTTTAATCTATGGAAATTCAGTAATTTCCAGTTCTTAAAGCAAGACCGAGCTTTAAAATAAAAGAAGAATGTGCCCAGCCAGGGGGATCTGTGGTTTTTTTCTGATTTTTAGTTGGTTATACAATGAGATAAGGATGCCGCACACATGTAGGCTTGTGCATTGATCCATCAGTCCTGCTCCTTTGAGCTCAGGTGGTTACTGCGACCCATTGGCTTCCAGAGGTGCTCAGTAATTCCTGATTGTGATTGTTCCATGGCAATACATCATCTTTGTGCATTTGTTTAGTATTTAGGCTTGTTTTAGAGCTGGGAGCAGCAAAAGCAAAGTCTTGGGATAGTGCCATCTGCCCTTCAGTCACCTAGGAGGAGGGAGAAGGGTGTCCTCACCAGGACTTGGTTTGCTTTGATTTGACTTTCCTAAGGCAAATAGAAGTTTTCTTCAGGAATAACCTCTGAGCCAGCATCAAGGGTTGGAGGTGGGTCAGAGTAGGGTGTGGAGGAACATCCCCATTGCTGATGTGGATTGCATGAGTTAAAGCCAGTGTGGAAGTTTGACACTGTGCTCAGACAAATACAACGGATGTTTCTTCTGAGATGAGAAGTGGAAAGAAACAATTCTGAAAAATTTCCAAGGTGGGGTGGTGGGAGGCCATAGAATTTGGAGTGAGAACCTCTTTTCTGTGCCTTGGATCTGTTTTTTGGCAGCTGGATGTACAGCTTGGGCTGTACATCCTTTTTTTTCTGTTGGATCATCATCTGCAGGGCCTGTGCTGTTGCAAACAAAATGAATTAAATTAAGCTTGATGTACTTTAGAGTGCCTTCCCTCTTGAGCAGGAGGAAAAACAGATGTTTGGAGAACATGGGAAGATACTAGCTGGGACTATTTTTTAATTCCTTTTTATTGTTGAAGCTGGATTTTTGAGACTGTATTACAGAAGTCGTAGGTTTTACAAGAGTATATATGAGAGGTGTATATATGTATGTCTTGCTGTATATATGTGAGGTTCATATATAGGTGGATACATAAATACATAGGCCCAATGTATATGTCAGTGCAAGAATATAATGAAGGAAAAGAGTTCTGAATACATTAGCCCTGCTTGAAGATTCCCACTAAAAATCATTTTCCTGCACAGCCCCAAACTTTAGCAAAGGCTGACAACAAGACCTGGGAGAGGTTTCACCTTACATAGAAGCACTTTTAAATAATGTAGAAAACAATTTTTGCTCACCTACCTTTTTCCCCCGTAAATGTAGCCACTGACAGGAGTTTAATAACTTTTGTACCAGATTTTGCTTTGAAAAGATGCCATGTTTTTCATAACAGCTAGAAGTGACCTGGTGTAAAGTAAAGGGCTTTTACACACATCTATTCATGTGCAAATATGCATGTAGGTAAAACTGCCTTTTTTCCATGTCTTTTTGATCTGTATTGTGAGCGTAGGAAAAAGCAGTGGTCTTTGGGGATGTTGTAT